AATTTAACACACCTGCTCCCCATTCACACCTGAGACCTTGTAACACTAATGAGTCACATGACACCGGGGAGAGAAAAAGCCTAACTGGGCCCAATTTGGACATTTTCACTTAGGGGTGTACGCACTTTTGTGGCCAGCGGTTTAGACATTAATGGCTGTGTGTTGAGTTATTTTGAGGGGACAGGTAGATAATGGCACTTCTCAAGGCAGTGTCTGTAGCCCGATTTTGTTTAACATAACAATCAATGACATATTTTTTAAGGTAGGACAAGGCATGGGAAAATTCCTATATGCATATGGCGGAGCCCTGTGGAAAAGAGGACGGAATGTGACATTTGTGGAAAGAAGCATGCAGGAAGTGGAAAAATGGGTAAATAACTGGGGTTTCAAAATGTCACAAGTTATCTGTCTCTCAAAAAAGAAGAGGAGCCCACAAATAAGAATAAAACTCTATAAAAAACACTGGAAGTATCAGTAATTAGATTTTTGAGGTTGTGGATGAACTCAAAACTTGCATTGAGTGAGTGAAGTGTGGCAAAGTACGGTGTCCCATACTCAGAATTTGTGCTCTGCATTTAACCCATCCAAGTGCACACACACACACACACACACACACACACCTGGAGCAGTGGGCAGCCATATTGCTGCAGCACCCAGGGAGCAGTTGGGGGTTCGGTGCCTTGCTCAAGGGTCTCACCTCAGTCGTGGTATTGAAGGTGGGAGAGAGCGCTATACATTCACTCCCCCCACCTACAATCCCTGCCGGACCTGAGACTTGAACCCACAACCTTCAGGATACAATTCTGACGCTCTAACCATTAGGCCACGACTGCCCACATAAACACAGTTACATAAAGAAAATAATAGATCAAGGTAAAAAAGGAATAAACATGTTACAGTTTTTCACATATACTAAGACACTAAACCCATTCTCTGAACCAAATTCTCAATAGCCTAAACCAATTTGTCAAATAAATCACTCTTTCTGCAAAACCTTAAACAAGTTCAGGCAGTTTAGACACTGTTTGCAGATCTCATGCACTCTTTTTTGCAAAACTCTAAACACATTCTCACTCACTAAAACGCAATTTGCACTGTGATAAACTTGTGGTGCAAAACCCTAAACACAAGAAAGCTAAAGTTAAGCACAACTGCAACACGGTTGTCATCGTTTACACACAATAATTCAAAACTGTTCACACTTGTTTCTAAATATGTGAATGTACAAACTATAAGCCAGTCCATAGTGCACAGATGGCATGGGTGCATCCATCTATCTGAGAGGTATGAAGAGTGCATATATGAGGTGGAGGAAGAGGAAGAGCAAGACCAAGAACACTCATTCCAGATGAAATCAGAGCTACTGTGATATGATGTTCTTCATGTTCTTGTTCTTGTGTGTGGAATGACAGAGGAAGGACAAAGAGTTCAACCTAAATTGAGCAGATTCTCTGTGGCCACCATAATCAGTTGGAAAGTTCAAAAGAACAGCAAAAGAAGAGTGGAAGAGAATCTTGTGTAGAATTGCAAGACTACCACCTTAAAAAACCTTAGGGTGGAAGAACTGGCCTGTGGTGACATAAACGTCTTGTCAAGGCTGGATCCGCCACAGAGGGTTTTTCCCCCATTGCCTGCCTGCGACGTAGTCCTCTGATTCTTTTTTACATACTGTAAAAAAAGAAAAACTGTAAAAGACCTAAAATGGTTCTTTCGTATATTAGGATGCAAGAATTCTAAAAATAGTAGTTTGTCTGGCCAGGGAAACTTGTTAGATACAGCACAATGCATGTGGACTCCAAGTTTTGGAGCTGTTTGTTCCACCATATAAGTTTTTTGAGCTGTATATATAGCTGCATTTCACAGTCAACTAAATGCAATAAATATGCCAATCCCCATGGTGTAGTGTGTTCTTTGGAGGGTGCTTACCGTTTTTCTGAATTGCTAAAACACATTTTTTGAAACCATCACTCATTTTCTGAAAACCTTAAACACAAATCCAAATACTCAAACTAAATCCACGAAACCTCTGACTCTTCTATCAAAATCAAACAATCACTGCAAAACCATTTCACTTATTGCACTCAAAATCAAACAGTGCTCTCAGATCACACACACAAGAGTCAATAAAGAAAACACTACAGAGCATTCATTAGACACTACAGAGAAAAATGGAGAACACAGCATCCAGAACATTATAAAAAAAGTATATTGTATTGAGTAAACAATTTTGCAATTCTGTAAAAAAGTATAGTAATTGCAACTGAGGTGAATATATTGTATAGGCCTACTGTATGTACTGCAAGAATAGTATTGTGCTGAATATTGAATAGTACTCAATGTTTGTATATATTCAGCACTTGGATACTGCAAAAATACTGCAGTCCAACTGCAAAGGCCAGAAAGGTCAAATAAAACTCTAAATGAACAGCATGTTACAGTAGGCTACACTCAAATACTGCAAGTTGTGCAATTGTAAAATCAGGGTCAATGAGAGATTAATTCTGTCTCAGCATCATGTCTTTGTGCTTGAGTCTGGTCTGAGGACTTTGTCCACATCACAAGTAATATTGTCTTTTTTGCTAGACAATGAAAAAAAAAACCTCTGGTCTGACAGATCCAGCCTTGAAAACACTCTCTAAACCTTACTCTTTCTCTCTTCATCCTCTTCCTCCTCATCCTCCACTTCTTACATGTACTCTTCCTCCTCTCCTTCTCAGATTGTTTCCATCTATTGTTCATATCATCATTCAGTCACCTGTGCCACTTGTGCACTCTGAACTGGCTCATAATTTGTACAGTTGGTTTGATCACATCATTAGAAACAAGTGTGAACAATTTTGAATCGTTGTGTGTAAACGATGACAACTGTGCTTTAGTTGTGTTTAGCATTTTGCAGCACAAATGCATCACAGTGTGATAAGTGTTTAAGTGAATGAGAATGTGTTTAGAGTTTTGCAAAAAAGAGTGCATGGGATTTGCAAATAGAGCCTAACTGCCTGAATGTGTTTAAGGTTTAGCAGAAAGAGTGCTTTATTCAACAAATTGGTTTAAGCTAGTGAGAATTTGGTTCAGCGATTGGGCTTTAGTGTTTTAGCAATTCAGAAAAACTGTAAACAGCCTGTTCCACCATGTAAAAGTATTGCGCTCTACATGCTGTAGTATTACAATGTCATGTGAACTCTTTAAGTTTGACCATACCCAAATTATGAGGTTGAGTGTATTTTATAGGGTGTGCTTTGTAACTTAAAATGTATTCAATAACCATTACAGACACATTGAAGGTATACGGTGAAGCTGTACTTTGCTCATAATGGTTTCAAAGTTCTTTTAAAGCAAAGCATAACTCTGTAAATAAATCCATAAAGTTAAGAAGTTACTATTTTCAGGCATTACAGTAATAAATTCAATTTAGATAATGTAATATTTTTTTAATTGAACATCAAAGAGAATAGAGCCAACATTCCTCATGTGTCAGCTGGATCTAACACAGCATTATGTATTAAAATCTCTAAAAATGCAGGCTATGCACTACATTCATAGATAGACAAACATGTATTACAATTTTAATTAGACATTAGAAATAAAACAATTTGGGGAAAAAAATTACATATTTTTATTAGTGTACATTTCCATGGTTGTACTGTTTATATCCTGAAACTGCTCCACAGTTTGAGAACCACTGAACCAAATGATAAACAAAAGAAACACAACACTAATGAGATAGATGCTTTCATAATGCTTTATTCATTCAACAGCAAGCAAAAGAAGAAAAAAAAGTATAATCAAGCTTTTAGTTTTCTGTTAATAATGACTGATTACTTTGAGGTTTCTGTTAATGATTGAGCTCCTCTGTAGCTGCAGTGACAGATTATAAAGTACATTTACGGATGGAGCCATCAACACACACGACCCACAGCACTCCCAGGTCAAAGCTCACATGCTTGTGGCCAATGGGACAGGCAACCATTGAGATCCAGTCTGTGCCAACAGAGTTGGAGCGAGTGACTCCAGTTCTGCAATAGACAAAATGTATGTCTTCTTGAATGCAGCGTTTTGTTTCCATTAAAAAAATGTGCATGACAAGTTAATCATTTTGTTCATAAAACTTGTAATATTTTGACTGTTCAGCTCACCTTTGGTATAAGTTCCCTTGATAGTTGACACCAAAGACGCTGCCATCAGTTGCTACTTCAATCATGGACAGAAGTCCAGGAATATTCACAAAGACGCCGGACCCAGAACAGACATTATTAGACACATCCTGCACAAGACTGAAAGAGATACAATGCAGTCAGTCATCGTACAGTCACATCAAGAAAATGATTTTGCTGCTTTCACCCTAGTGTCTTTATTTCTTCAGTTTTGTCAGAAACTCAAGCCTTTGCTTGATATCTACTTAATAAAAACTAGGTGTACTAAAGCTCTTGTATTTAACATTGTGACATTACCCTTATGATGAAGATATATTCATTGCTGTTCACTCCCCAACAGCTGTACGGGCCACAGCTGTAATACTTCAGCTTTCCATTAATTTGAACCCAAGGAGTGGTGCTGGATGGCCATTTGTTGTTAGCATCCATATTTATACAGAATATGTCATCATTCATATTGACACCTGCAATGATCTGATCACCTCCAGCATCCACCTGTTTGAGAAGCCCTAACAACACACAATTGAAATATTAGTCAGTTTAATAAGAACCATAATAAGATGATGTCTTCGGGACTTTGGCTATTTTAAAACATGTAAATTCATGACTGGTTAAATTTGTCTTTTGTCTTAATTTTGCTCTCTGTAACTCTTCACCTGGAAACTGAATAAAGTTGCCACTCTGAAACTTGAAGATGTTGTTTGCTGTATTAACCCCCAGCTGACCAGCAGGACCAACACTGACGTGATTTAGAGACATGCTGATCTTTGTGAAGACGTTATCAATCAGGATGAACACTTCATTAAGATTGTTCACTCCAACTACTGAGCCAGACCCAGCGTCTATCTGCTTCAGGTTACTGCTCATCACAGTACAGTCGAAAGCTGTGAAAACAAATAATTTAATGATTGCAAAATAATCAGTGATTGCAAATACAGAGACTTTTAAATATGAATTCATTATTTTTATAATATTTTTTTATATAAAAAAAAATTGAATCACATAAACAAAAATACAAAAACATTGTTTACCCAGAGTGTGAAGGAACTGGCAGCAGAAGAGTAGCAGGACGCTCTGATAAACCTTCATTGCTCCACAACACAGTTTGTTATTTGGACCTGTTCAGAACCAAAATTAATGTATATAAGTAAATAAAAAAGAAAAAGAAAAATCAATATCACAGTGATAGTCATTAAATGAAGACAACCTTATCTTGTTAGTTCAAGATTCAGCAGTCAGTGGGGATTCTCCTCTTGTGAGATGTAGGTTCTAGAAACTTGCATTCAGTGTGTACATGTTGTTGAGTAAGAACTTATATAGCCGAAAATTAGTTTCCTGATTAGACTGGGGGAAAATTTACTAGGCATTATGAAAATTAAGTGACGATCAGGAACTTGTTTTTCTGGATCTCTGCTTTCTTAACTTCTCTGTTGACTTTTCTCATGTCTCTAAAATATGACACCAAACAAGTTGAGTGCTCCAGCACGTTTGATAAAATATAAACAGAGATGGGCACAAATACATGGGAATGTAATATATATATATACATGGGTCAAAGACGTTAAAGAAAATTTACAAAAGTGATTTTATGTCCATAGAAAGCACATTAAATTTAAGTAAAGTGTCTACTTTTAAGGTTTCAAATAAGTTTTTAGAGAATAAAATGTCAACATTTGGTTGAAATAATGTTACATTGTCATTCAGTGTAATACAATATTTATGTAAAAATTCAAACAACATGCTTATTCTGACGTGTACATATTAAAATATATAAAAGAATAAGGGAGCATATACAATTTTATTGTGTTTTAAATTAGTAAAAAAATTCTTACTGACAAATGGGCAAAACCTAGGATAGTGGCAAATTTTAATTGTTTTTATGCTTAAACCCTTTTTCGTCTTTGACCCTCATACACACACACACACACATAAATATATAAACACACACACAGTACGTTATGGGGACTAAATGTCCTCACAAGTATAGTAATACCAGTAAATTTTGACCTTGTGGGGACATTTTTTAGGTCCCCATGTGGAAACAAGCTTAAATCATACAGAATGAAGTGTTTTGAAAATCTAAAAATGCAGAAAGTTTTGTTTGAAGTGTGGGTTTAGGGATAGGGTTATGATAAGGGGATAGCAAATACAGTTTGTACAGTAAAAAAACCATTACACATTTTTAGTGTCCCCATAATGATAGGAATACCTGTGTGTCTGTGTGTGTGTGTGTGTGTGTGTGTGTGTGTGTGTGTGTGTGTGTGCGTGCGTGTGTGCATGTGAGTGTGTGTGTGTGTGTGTGTGTTGGAAACAGTTGTGCTAATATGTTTTGGAAACTATGAACAGCATTTATTCAAAATAAAAATCTTTTGTAACAATATAAGTCTTTACTATCACTTATTATCAGTTTACTTGCTGAAGTATTAATTTCTTGAATGAATGAATGCTAGGCAATGTTGTGTTTGTGACATAAAAATATATATTTGTGAATATGCTTTTTTATTTGCAAACCTCATTCTATTTATTTGTGAATATGTTTCATTTTGTTAATCTCTTTACATTTAGCCTATTTGTGGATCATAATATATTTATTTGGAATAAATCAACAAAATGAACTTCAAAGTAATTCTAAGCATATAAGCAGTAGCGTTTACAAAACTGTGCAGCAACAAGCAGTCTAGCGTATGCAATTGCTGTGAAGACGTGCTGACAAGTTACGGACATAAGAACAGGTTTAAATGAAATAAGCATTCGCCATATTCAGCTGCGTAGCCTCAATGTCATGTTAGTTTATTTCCAAGGTCGATGTTTTCAGCTGTGCTGAGCGGTTGATTTCAGATGCACTCAGCGTCAGATTCACGCTCTTTTATCACTCCTAATGGCTTTACTATACAAATAAGAGTCAAGTCTATACAACTAAGAGTCATGTCACTACAAATAGAAGTATAAAAGTCATGTCAGTGACAATTATCAAATTAGTTTCAATTATGATATTTTGCTTCAGGTGGTTTATGGGGTTTCTCATCTCATCAGCTTGTGATGGTCGGCATGGTAGCCAGGCACGTGCACAGGTAGGGCTCAACCTGTGCAGAGCACATGCCCTTTTTTGTCCTTACACTCCGAAGTGCCCTTTTTTTTTTTTTCTTCAATAAATCAATGCTATTGGTCACCCTTTACGTCTGTCTGTCTGTTTTACAAATATATTTAGCGAATGAAAGGTACTAAAAAGAGTTTGTGACTAAATCTTGTTGGATCCGCTCAAACTGTCAGTCAAACCTCATAACTCCACCCCGTCTTGACTGACTGAGTGCAGTGAACTGAAGTTCCACAGCAGAGCAGCTGAACGTCTTGCAAGGGTAAATAAATATCTTCTTGTTTGTATAAGTACAGCGTTGTCTTTACGCCATGCCCCTCAAAAGGTCTGTGCACGGCCCTGATGGTAACCCATGCAACTTTCGCCCCTAAAAGGAGTCAATAAAAATGTTTTTTTAAATTCTGATTATTGGACATAAAAAATGACCTCAAGCTGTTTTTTGTTTTTATCTAAATGATATAAAACTCTACCGTACAGTTGAGATGTCTGTTTATGGTAGGCTTAATCTTGCTTTACATGTGCTGTTTCATGGGCTTTTTTGAATAATAAAAATACCTGTAATGTAAGAAGGTCCAAGATACCTCACATTGAATTCACATTGTTTCCAGAGGGATAGCCGTTACCATAATAGTCTTCTTCTATGTCAGTTTTCTCTTACTACTTGCAAAACTGCATAGTCAAAGTACTACATTTGAAGAAGAACTTAGTTTGTGACCAATAAAATAAGTATATCAATGATGGGCAACTTGAGTCCTGGAGAGCCTCTGTCCTGCAGAGTTTAGCTCAATCCCAAATCAAACACACCTGCTTGTAATTTTCAACAGGCTTTGCACTTTTCAATGTCAAGAGCATTGTAATGAACAATTAATTTGATTGAAGCGGATTTGTTATAGGGTACGTGACAGCATCAATTAAAGTTTCTTAACCCATAATAATCTATTAAGACATACTGACTGTGTTTAAATTAATGGTGCATCAAAAGCTTTTTGAGATTTGAGAAGTGAGTCTGCATCTCCTGCTATGCATCAAAGCCACCCGCATTAAAGCTCACCATTCAAATGAATGCACGGCTCAGACCAACTGTACGAAATGTGTGCATGACTGCAATAAAATTATTTAGATTATTAATCTTTTCACAAATAAATCTCTCAATAAGTAAAACTGCTTGTGTCTATTATTATAGATACGCAACATTTTAATTATTTTCAAAATCATTTTCAAATTATTATCTTTTAAAATAAATCTTCCTGGTTTAATAAGGTACACTTGTAAGAAATTAGCAGTGGCTGGGACAGACTTTCCTGTTTACATTTAATAAGCCTCCTCCCGAGCAGGTTTGAGCTCACGGACCTGTTGCTATGACAGCAACTCCGGGATGAGCTTCGAAGAACCTAACAATCCTGGATCATGTCAAATCGTCAACAATAAAATCCAGCTAACTGAGTACGAAGAATGGGCCCTTGGTTATTGGTAAGAGAGGAAGGAAGTTTATGTTTTGGTTTTCATCTTTGTTTTGTGTATAGGTTAGTAGGCTCCTCTAATTCTTAGTTAGTTATGCTTTGTTTGTTATTTTAAGCTATACTCACTCATTTGTTTTCTGTTACAACTAATGCTCTACTTAATAAATGACGGTTATCTTTTCCTTTTAAAGAATCGTGTCAAGTTTTCACTCTGGGGCTAAGGACTGAACTGTGCTCTGCTCTCCTTGTTCTCTTTTTCCTTTTAAAATTACTTTAATTTACTTTTCTTTGTTATGCCTCCCACAAATCCTCTAGACTAGAAAGGAGGACGTAACCACTGTTCAGAATCTCTTGCATCAAGTTGAACAAACAAAACTTAGTATTTGACAAGAGGAGTCTTTATTTAAAAACTATACCCTTGTGATGAGGAAGTGATGAACTATGAGCATAATAACCATGTCATGCCAGATTATGTTTATGATATTACAGACCTTTAATGCAGACCAGCTTCATGAAATTATCCTTCAAGGACTAGACTTTACCAAACCAAATTACATCACTAGGCTATTTAAAGACATTTTAAAATAGTTTTAGTAGGTGGCCAAAATATTTCATTTTGTATAAAACTAATATTTTCCTTATGTGAAATTTACATCTGTGCCTGCAGCTGGGCACTTTTTATCTCTCAATGAGAAAAGAAGTGTCAAAATTGTGAGATATAAAATTAGAATTGCAAGGAAAAAAGTGAACATTGTGAGATAAAATGTCCCTAACCCTTGGAATTGCGAGATATATTCTAAACTTATAATTGCAATACTTTATACATTATATGTTTATACTTATACATATAATTATTCACACAGTGGGTGTAGAAAAGAATCACCCCCCTTTAAAAAAAAAAAATCTATTTTTTTTGCTTTGCAGCCTGAAATGAAGATGAACACGGTTTTTGTTTTATCCAGCTGTATTTACTCAGTGCAACTTATAACATCCAAGTGAAAGATACACTGAACAAAATTATAAACGCAACACTTTTGTTTTTGCCCCCATTTTTCATGAGCTGAACTCAAAGATCTAAGACTTTTTCTATGTACACAAAAGGCCTATTTCTCTCAAATATTGTTCACAAATCTGTCTAAATCTGTGTTAGTGAGCACTTCTCCTTTGCCGAGATAATCCATCCACCTCACAGGTGTGGCATATCAAGATGCTGATTAGACAGCATGATTATTGCACAGGTGTGCCTTAGGCTGGCCACAATAAAAGGCCACTCTAAAATGTGCAGTTTTATCACACAGCACAATGCCACAGATGTTGCAAGTTTTGAGGGAGCGTGCAATTGGCATGCTGACTGCAGGAATGTCCACCAGAGCTGTTGCCCGTGAATTTAATGTTTCCTCAGTTATTAAAACAGAAAACGAGCAAAGAATATTTACATTACGAAAGAGCATCATAAATGACAGTCTAGTGCGAGTATTATGCTCTTTAAAAACACTCCCGTTATAATCAGTGAAGCTACCTACACTGTATCATGAATAAATCTCTTACCCCTTATTTACACTGCACACGTCTGCGGTGCATTACGGCTCCGACACGGCCACCGGAGCTGATCACGGCTACTCACCATCCGTGCCACGGCAAATTTCTGAAGCGGCTCTCCGCGCTGCATCACTAAAGATAGGCGCCTATATCTTTGACGGATAATAATAATAATAATCGTCTTGCTGTCGTCAAAGAAATCAGCAACAGGTGATATCTCTGGCTATCGTTGATACACGATACTATCGTCTACCGGCAATTGTCTAACCCTAAATTGAAGGTTGTGATGGCGAATCGTTTCCTTACCATAATGCATTCTCTTGAAAATGTTTTATTGTCAAATGTGTGTTGAATGTAAACTCCTATTAGGAATTTAACCATTCAAAGTGAATTTATCTGACATTCGAATATTCTTAAATAAGGAAATCTATTCAGTGATTGGTCCATGCGTATTTCGTCATCCAAAATC